TGTACATTCGTGCACATGTATTTCTTTGGTGGGGTCATTCCCAAACTCAGATAGAGCTTTCCCAGTCAACTGCAGCTTGGTCCCCTACATCAATTGGGGATAGTTGTAGACTCCAAATAATGGTTGGGTCTGGGGTAATAAAGGACAAGAGCTCTCAATCCTGCCTGCATGTTAGACCCACCTGGAAGCTGTTGACATATGCCAGTGCCTGGGCCCACTCCAAAGAATCGATGGTTTGGGTTGAGACCCAGACTTCAGTATTTTTTTTTTTCAAAGCTCTATTGTTGATTCTTTTGTTCAACTAGGGTTGAGAACCACAGCCATTTAAATACCAGGCAGAATTAAATCCTTGCATATGGCAGCATAGGCAGAGAGAACTAGAACCAATGGCTAGAGCCATTCTGGCCCAGCTCTGCTACCAGCAAAAACATCATGCATCCCACCATCAGAGCAGAACTGAATAGCATCCTTTGCCTCCTTCTACAATAGTCTTTGCTTTCTTCTCCCTCCTTGGGAGGCATTTTTCATCCCTGTCACAAATCTGGACCATGGAGATGTGTCCCTCCCCACCCTGAGTGTGGGCTGAGGCAGAACGCAGTCTATATAAATGAGAACCTCAAATAGCAAGACCCTCCCTAATAGGGCTGACTTTGCAAGGAGATGACAGGCAGTGGAGCAGAGAGCAGGGATTTATTTTCAACTAAGAACAAAAAAAAAAAATGTGTTTGGCAAGCTGGAGCCTTCCCCTGGCTGTGGATCTGAAAGACAAGCTCATAGACAGCTTGTTTTCTCATCCCAAGATAGTGTGATGGGGTCACCACTACCCTGAAATGAGTTTTTAATTTTCAGCAACAATCTAATTAGTCCTGACCAGGGCCTTTTTTTTTTTTTTCCCCCTGCCTATTTGTTTTTGCCTTCAGGGTCAGTAGCTGGCAACTAATATCCACTAGAACTGAAGCACCCAAATTACCATAAGGGCTGAGCTAATATCCTGCTACAGATGCTATCACAGGCTGAAAGAAAATTGAAAGGGAAGTGCTACCATGGGCTGGCAGCGAGCAGCCACTGTTAGGCCTGCCTACCTCCATGCTTTAAAATTAGCCTCCAGATTCCTGGAAAAGGGACTAGGGATTTAGCTCAGTTGTAAAGCACATACTTAGTATGTAAAAGGCCCTAGGTTCAATTAATCCCCAGTGTGCATGCACACATACTTGTGCGCACACAGATTCCTGGAAAATTCAACTTGGGACAAAGTAGAGACCCCAAAAGATGTCCCAGTTATTTTCCCCTCTTTGTTGCAAGACAGTATAGGATATGGGAAAAATTAGATCTCATCCTTTCAGTGGTTAATAACCATGATAAAGTCAGTTAGGTCTTATGCTGAGTGCTTTATATGCTTTTTCTCATTGAATCCTCAATTATTGTACATATTTTTTAAAAAATACAGTCACAGATTATGTGTCCAAGGTCGCTCAGAGAGTTAGTGGTAGAACCAAAATTCAAATCACCTATGGTAGGTTCCAGAGTCCATGTTCTTTGCCCTGTGATTGGAACTGTCTGCTTATTTGGCACAAAGTTTTGGCCGTTTGTTAAGCATATGGCCAAAACATGCAAGAAGGACCTATTAAGCAACTACAGTGCCCAGTACTGCAGCTGAGGGATGAGGGACAGCTTTCTGCCTTCTCAGCACTCCAACTTCCCTGCGAAAGGTTAACTTTTAAAGAACATTACCCTGCTGAGATTCTGCCCACTGTAAGGAATGCCATTGCCTGGTACATGACCTTCTATAGAAGGGATTGCAAACTGTGACCCACTCCTATGGCCCATGAGCCCTACCAATAGCCAAAAAAGAAATCAAAAGGAGAGTATTTCATAACACATGCAATTACATGGAATTCAAATTTTAATGTCCAAAAATAAAGTTTTACTGGAACTAAGCCATGCTCTTTTGTTTATGTAATATTATTATGTCTGGGGCTGCTTTTGTATTACAGCAACAGAGACTGTGTGGCCTGCAGACCCTGAGATGTTTACAGAAAAACCTTGCTGACCCCCACTAGAAGGAAAAATGAGATAACTAAGCCAAACTGGCAGTGTGATCAAGAGATTTTTCACCCTGCCCTTTTCTTTGTTTGTTTGGTTGGTTGGTTGGGTGGGTTTTTTTAATAATAGTCCCTGGAGAAAACTTACCTCAGCATGTAGTGCAAGCCACTTACTAACAAAATAAAAGTATTTAACTCATAGTTGAGTTAAATACTAACAAAATAAAAGGGAGGATTCCCTTCCCACCTCCCATGTAGTTGGAAGCAAAGAAATTGAGGCAAGACTGATCTGAAACCCTCTTGCCAGCCTTGCCCTGGAGCTATCTGAAATTGAAGGCCCCCGTGTCCCCTTTCTCTTTAACACTTTTCTCAGTAGGCTATAAGAAGTAATATTTGAGGAAATCCGTACTTATTTGTCCAACTGTCTGTACCTCAAACTGTGGTAAGCTAGAAATCAAGAAATTATGAAGCTGAGGTTCAGAGAGTTAAAATGATAAAGCTTTGTTAACATCCTCATATAGTGCTTTCACATATGTTCTTATTTAATCATTCTTTAACTTCAAGAAAATATCAGATAACACATTCATTTCCCCTTCTCTCTTTTGAGAGTGAGGTTTATGAGGCTTCCCCCCCTCAATTTCTACATTCCTCTTGTACTTTTTGACAATCCCTTAAGATATCAATTGTAGCATGTTGCAGCTGTGAAATTGCCTTGTTCAATTTTTTTCCCAAGGAATTGAGTTCTTAATGTAGAAATAAATCACCAAAGCTCAATGAGTTGTTTGTACATTAAAAAAAAAAAAAAAGGCAACTCAGTTCTGATTGGACGAGACACTAGGCACTGAACCATAATCCACTGCCATGTATAGCTTCTTCCCGCCTGTGGAGTCCTGTCATGGAAATATGGTTTTCATAGTCTCACCCAGCCTGCAGTCCACAGGATGGGACATAGGAAAGAGATGGGAAGGTGAAACACTGTGAAGCCACCCTGGGCTGTTTTCTGAAACTGATTAAGATGAGTTTCTGAGCACTGGATTCTGATGGGTACACCTGCAGGGATGGAGGCATGAGGAGGCAGCCAGAGCCTTCCTGGTTGAGTTAGAGGGAAGAAAGGCAGGGTCAAAGGTCTGGAACTTTCCTTTGACATTTTCTGAATGAAAGTCATCTATGTAAGGCCTGTAGACTGTTTGCCCACCCTCCCATATTCATGGGCAAACTCCTAGTGGCCCAGAGAGTACTCAGTATCCAAAAGCACATTCTAGATGTCCACACACCCCCATACTCTCACCTCCTGTGGGCCTTGCCACGTCCCTACCTTCTGAGGGAGTAGAATGGTTTATACACACAAAAATGGAAATGCAGAGACGTGGTTTGCCTAAAGTAATACAGATCATTAATGGCGAAGGCAATGCTGGGCTGTTCCCAGACTGAGGCGGTTCCTGGGGTTTGGGGTTTTCCCACCCCTGCCTCCACCTGTAATGAAAGAATGGTCTTTGAAGCTGGGCACACCTGAGACCAATATCAGCTGTGCCACTTAAGTAGCCTGACACCTTTGTCTAGTTATGAACTCTTCATTCCCCCTCATTTGTAGAAATAAGAATAGAAGTGTATCTCAGATTCACGAGGCCCTAGTGAGGCCCAATAGCACACTGCCTCCCACCTCGGAGATCCTGGGGTTTTCCTTTTGTTCCCCTATTACAAATTCTTTTTTTTTTTTTTTAGTTGTTTATGCGTGTATGCTACACGTCTGTGCATGCACAGGTGGACTTTATGTAAGTAGCCTGCCTCCCTGCAACGCTGAGGGAAAGTTAGATTCCTAAGTAGTCGTAGCAGAGGCAAGCACTAGAACTAATAGGTCTCATAACACCTGGGCCCAGGCCACCTGTTTCTGAGGGTGTTGCCTGCCACAGGGGTCCTTTAGGTTTAAATGACTAATAATCCTGCAACATCTGCACTGACAGCAAAGATGTCAATTTCTGTAGCCTCCCTGGCGAAGAGGTACTTACCCTCCAACCTAAATCTTGCTATCAGTGAGGCCCACACATAAAACTACCTTTATCAACAGTCCATTAGGCTGTTTCTAATGCATAATGTATTTATCAAAGTGCTTTGATGACGTAATAAAGACTTGGATATCTAAGCTGGAGCTTACTTTTCCTTTGATCCACAAGATGGGCAAACTTCCAAGATAGTAGAATTAATAGAATTGAATCGCCACCGCCTCTATCCTTCTATAAGCATGTGTTTCCTGGAATTTTAACACTATCTCCTAAAACTGCTCTAAGGCCTCTAGGTTTTTCTTGATAACTATCGGTGGAGAGTATGCCTAGTGTCCACTGTGTGCCTAGTGTCCACTGTGTCTTGCAGCTGTGTGACCACATCTGTGAGTTCCCTGGGTTTTAGTGATTGAAAGTGGGTATGTGTAGTATAACCATTGAGATTTGGTGGAAGGAGGGCCCTTAAATCATCTTGTGCACATGGCAGAAAAGGCAAGTTCTGTCCCTCAGCCTGCATTCTTGTTTTTCACTGGCTGTGAAGCAGTGTCCTCATTTAACTCTTTTGGATCACCAGCAACTCCTTTTTGAATTCCTTCCCTATGTCCTCATTAGCCTACTTTGGCACTCTCCAGTTTATCTAGACTAGAGGTGAGTTCAAGGAATAATTGAAAATAGCCATTGACTCAATAGAGTAAAAGGATATCTAGTGTGGAACGTGAGCCTGTGTTACTAATCTGCCAGCTCAAAAGGTGAGGGGCTGCGATCTCTCTAAATATGAACACCACCAACTGAGTAAGTAGGAAGAGTCAATGGAACTTTGTTTCTGGGAGAAGGGGGGATGACAGCTCATTACATGCACGTTCTCAGAAGGCCCTGCTCCCCTGCCAGCCGTGCCTGGTCAGGAGGGTAGGGGAAGCAGTTGTGCCAAGTTCTAACACACTTTTCGCTCTGTCACCTACAGGTGTTAACAGAACTGAAATCTGACAACCAGAGACTGAAAGATGAAAATGGCGCCCTCATCAGAGTGATCAGCAAACTGTCCAAATAGACAAGGCTCCAGGTGTGGGAAGGCATCTGCTGCCCTGCCCCTCATTTCCAGCCATTGCCTTCCAGCCAAAAGAAGTGAATGTTTTGGTGGAAGGAAGGACACTTCTCTCTGACCCTCTTCAGTCACATCCTCTGCACTGTACATTTTCTCTGCACTCTCAATGCCCTGTTCCTCCCACACCCTCACCCCAAGTTTTATGACAGTTTTAATTGAAGCATGATTGTGATCATTGGAGCCATCTGGAAAAGGCCCCATGGAGCACACCAAGCTCAGCTATGGACCCAAGCTTCCTGCTGCTCTCCTACTTTGTCCACATTGGATTTGGTCCAAACACATAAGACATGCCTAGCCTTTATGCTGACCCAGTATCCTTTAATATAAGTGAGTCTTGTGGTACCACTCCAGGTTCCTGTCTGGGGTGCCAAGAGAAATGGCAGGATGTGGAATTAATCATCAGCCTCTGGAGCTGTGTTTCTTTGGAGTCCACGGGGACAGTGACCGCACTGAAGCTCTCTGTTCTTCACCTCTCAGGAACTGACTTATATTTTTTCCTCAGCAATCCAGAGCCATTCCTGACTAGTCTTAACCCCTCTTCCTCCCTCATGCCTAACCTTTATCCAAGGCACTGATGGCCCTGGCCTCACTTATTCCTCTACCTTCTATCCTTTCGTTCTTTCTCTCCCACACCCTTGCCTCCAGAGCACTCAAGGACCTTGGTTTTTTGTTTTGTTTTGTTGTGACCATTGTGGAAGATCATTACTCTGGAGACTAGAAAATCATGACTCTTGTGCTTTGGGGTGGCTTCATGAGCCCTGTATATAAAAAGCGAGACCATGGCAGAAGTGTCAGCCTGCTATTCACATCTCCCACTTATCTTCCCCCTGAAAAATGGTTTTTCTTATTAGAAAATCTGGGCTCCTTATTAGAAAATAGCTCTTATTAGAAAATCTTATTCCTTATCAGAAAAGTGGATACCCCATTCTGCCTGATCTCTCTTTGATGAGGGAGTTTTCCTCTCTTCACCTGGTGCCTCTTGCAAATGAGATATGAAGTCATTGCAAGGAGACCTGTAAGGTGGGGAGGGCAGACTGTTGGGAGCTGGGCAGAGGGTAGAAGTTGAAATACATATTTGGTGAAAGGAAAGTATCTGAGGACACTGAAACATGACGACAGAGAAGACAGTGTTCCACTGTGCTGTGAGAATAGTGGTGGATTGGATTGTTTCTGGTGGTTAGATTGAGGGAAGAGATATTTGCTTTCTTAGAAGTTATCAGGAGACATGGCTGCTTGATGAGGTTTAAAGGGAAGAAGTCCTTTCAATGCATGATGAGGGTCATGGAATTTTAGAGTGGCAAGGCCCAGAGGTCATTTGGTCCAGCTTTCCATTTTTGTGTCACAGGGACCCCTGCTACCACAGGTTTGACCCATAGTTAAGTGGCTGTGCATTTAGTACTTGAGGTTTGAGCAACTCTAATAACCAGAGTTTCTCCTAAGACCAGCTAAAGTCTGCCTGTAGGCCGTGTCTACCCTTCATAGCTCCTTGAAGTGACAGCACTTCAGATCCGTGTGGTCGGTGGTCTCTTCTTCACCTGACGTCAAGCCCACACTGCCCTAGTCTTTTCAGTCACTCCTCATGTGACATGGTTTTCATACCTGTCATCTTGGCCATCCTGCTTTAGACAAAATAGCCTTTTAAGATATCGTGCCCAGACCTTCACAGAGTACTCCATAACCCCAGCGCATAGTTCAATCATTAGTTCTCCAGAAGACAATTAAGGCATATAGTATTTGCTTTTTGGAGGAGTTGCATCCCTTGGTTCACCTTGAGTGTGCAGGTCACTTAGAGCCTCATTATAGGGTTGCCAGTGATACTCAGTGCTGAGAGCAGTCTGTGCTACCTCTGTCATTGTCTTCTGAAAGTGGCAGTGGTGTTCTCGATAGTCCTCTGAAATGCCCATGTTCTTTACTCAGAATCTATAATTCAGGAACAGTTCCAGAATAGTAGCCATGCCTCATCTGGCAGAACCTCACTTTTAGAGTATATAAGATTCTCTCTTCTGTTCCTGTCTCTTTTTTTTTTTTTTTTCTTTTTTTTTCCAGGAGAAGCTGCTCCTATCTTAGTGGGGGCATTGTTAGCTCAATTCTCAGGGAATGCTGGATTAGAGTGAGAAGTACCATATCTTCCACTGTAAGCATATCCTTCATTCCGGGGAAAAGAAATCAACAAGGATTGGCTAATTGATTCTCCTGGTGCCTCTTAGATATGGAGGAAGTGGAGTTGATTGCCTCTTAAGAAAAGAAAACCAGATTATTAGGAAACATTTGTTATTCTTCTCAGTTCCTTAGACCGAGTAAAGGAATTGCAGAATTCCCTCAGATCCCTTTGTGCCTTTTAAAGTGTTGGAGGCAGGTTCTCAAAACTCTTGGATTGGTGTCTCTCCCCCGCTGCTCTACAGCAGCCTTTCATGTCAAAGGTCTCTTCTTGCCAGGAGGTTTTCCTTGTGTCAAGAAGTTTACAAGCTTTTTAATCTCAGGAATACTGGATTCTATGGCCAAGAACTCAGAAAGTGTGAACCATAGTTCACACTAAGGTACAATTTCCTGAATTCACTATTTCGGGCAATTGTTCTTATGCCATTGATTTTATTAGATAACATTCTGAATCCTGGTCTCCTATAGAGAATAAAACGTCCTTTCTTCACAGCTGTATTGACTGGAAGCCATACGAGGTGCTGGGTGTAGGCCTTTTAGTAGCAAGTTACCTACTGTTGGTCTCCTCAGTCTCCACTGCCCTCCGCATCCTTGCCTGCTGGTTTGGGAACTCATGAGCACCCCAGCAGCTCAAGCTAAGTGAGTAGCAGCAGGCTGGCCAGCAGCGAGAGGCTCAGCTCTGTCGCTTCAGTCTTGACAGGAAGACTGTCAAGACTGTCTGGAAAAGAGAATTTCTCAGTTCAAATTCACACCCTCTGTTCCCACTGACTTGATATTTTTCAATAGCCAAGCCACACCTTTGGGAGTAACGATTGAGGATTCCAAAGATTCTCTGGCTAAAGTTTGCCTATTTGTCTTTCAGAGGCTGCTGATCCTTTTCAGATAGCCCAGTCCTTTTCAGAAGCCCCAGGTGTGATGACCCCAGCCCCATCCTAATCTCTAGCATAAGGCTGTGCATATCTCAGGGTACAGCTACTAACGAATCTGAACAACAGACATGTCCCAGGTGTCCTTGGAACACTCGATTCTCCACTAGGCCAATCTCATTGGCTATCTCCTAGACACTCCCTTGCTCTCTATCCAGCTGTGGGACATTTGCATTTCTCTTCTGGGCTTTTCCATGTTTAAGGAGATCTAGATGCATTTGATGCTCTCAAGGCCGCTGGTGGGTTTCATATCTCTGTTTGGAACATTTCACCTCTTCTCCCTACCCCAAACAAAGCATGTGCTTATTTGACAGTTCTACCAGGAAGCAAGGAGGCTACAATCCTACTTAATAGCTGTGGATCCCACACAAAACTGGGTGAACTACCAGCTGCTTCTCCGCTAAGAGCATTTAACTGATTTCAGAGATGAGGAAGGAGAAATTCTCAGCCATGCACTTTGCTGTGCCTCTGGATGTCTGGCAACTTTGCAGCATCTCTTAGCCAAAGAAAGACACCATCTCCTCTCAGAGAAAAGCCAGTTGTTTCTGGCCAGGCCACTGTGCAGAAGGTCCCCACAGTGTTGGCACTCCTTAGGAGATGGGCCTGGGTGAGCAGACACCTGGGGAAGAGCAGACTGTTCCACGTGTTGCGTTATTCTGCTTCCAGCCACTTCACACCTTAAAGGGAGGCCTACAGGTTCAGCAACAAGGCCCATGGAAAGGGGGAGTTCCTGTCTGCCCCAGCAAGTGAGCCACTACTGCAGCTTAACAGTGAGGGATCACCAGGAGTCCAGTGTCCTTCTCTTCTGGATACCACCAGGGCCACTGAACCCCATCATTTATGCCCACACTGCACTTACCTTGGCACACAATCTTGTCAGTCAGAGGTAGTCCCTGCCCAAATCTAAGCCCAGATCTCTCTCACCATTCTGATTTTTAAGGCAGGTTCAGACCCCTCAAATATTTGGATTCCTGTGACCCCGTAAATGAGGCAGCTGTGAGGGGAGAATAGGCGACATGAAAGGGTAAACCCCCAGGAGCCTGAACATCAGTGCTGGGGCCAGCTCTTGTATTAATCGTGTGACCTTGGGCAAGATTACCTTTAAATTCTCTTGGCTTAAAATTCTGTGATTTATTCATTCTTAGGAAGAACAGAACATTTCTTATACTTGGAATTTCTGCTTCAAAAATTCCTTCTTTCAACTTCAAAAATTCAAGAGCAAAAATTCTTGTTTTCTTCCAATTCAGACTGTTTAACATCAGCACGTCAAGACTGACTTCTCACCCTTGCTGGAAAGCGAGTTTGGTATTAAGGATAATTGAGTGGTGTTGCAATTGCTTTCCCTCCTAATGTTTTGGTAAGAATATTAAAACCTGCAGAGGTGGAAATTGGAGCTCATAGGGAAATGGATAGAAAGTAATTTGTTGTAGGCAGCCTTCAGACAAATTGTTTTAATAGGAAATAGAGCTGCCGCTTCACAGGTCCTCAACCACCTTTCCTCAGCTTCCTCAGACATGGCCTACTCTGCCTCTTCGCCCCAGACAAATTGATTGTATTGCTGCTTAGCACTAGCTGGTCCCTGGTCTTGAACTCTGTCTTGCAACAGCAAAGGAATTTTCCTCAGTAAAAAAAAAAAGAAAGAAAGAAACTCAACCATTAGTTCCTTTGAGCTCCTCTGGATTCTGGTCTCTCAGAATTAGGAAGTTCTGGTTCTGTTCAAGGCAGGCTTTCCTTTATAGCAGGTCTGCAGACGAGACCAGCAAAGTCAGAAGCGTTTACAAACCACACTGCCATGTTGCACAGAGCAGCACTCAGCTCTTGCAAGACTCCTGTGGGTCTAGTGTGAGCCCAGTGAAAGGGCAAAGACCCTGGGTGGGGAGGTGGCCCCCAAGCAGCATTGGAAAAGAGACAGACAGGGCTTTGAACGTGGAGCAGGGTAGAGGTTGCAAGCACTGGAGGGAAGGAAGGAGGGAGCAAAGCTTCAGCGTGGAAATGAGCTGTGAGCTGGTGACTTTATCCTCAGCCTCCAGCTGAGCTGAGATTCTAATCAGCTTCCCTAATGGGTATTGACACTGCTCAGGAGGAGACCCTATCAGGGACAGGTATTGATCGCTGTGTTCTGATTAGATTGGAAAAATAGATCAACTTCACTACAGCCCAGGAAGTCATTGCCACAGCTACTAAGGAATGAGGTGTTTTTTGAAATCTGAGAAAAAACAGCAGAGACTCTTGACCTGGCAGCCAGCTGCAGCACAGTGAAAGAAGATGCGCTCACTTCTTAAGAGCGGACGTCGAGGGTCAGAGTTGAACTGAGGAATGGCTTGCAACCCAATCTCTGGAAGCCTGCAGAATTCCTGGGGAAGAACAGTTGATAAGAAGCAGGGGTGTCTAAAGACCACAGCACTGATGCGTGTTCTGTCTGGCCTTCCTTACAAAGGTTTGACAATTTGAGGGTCCTCTTCTAGTCTGAGTGCATAGACATGTACATGCTAGCTCGGAGCTTCCAAAATGAGGTTTCACATGTTCTTGATTAGAAATGAGAACTCAGAAACCAATTTTATTCAAGTGTATTATTCTATCAGTTCATATTTTTTGCCTTCCCCCCCCTTCCAGTCCCCCAAAGGACTTTTCTCTCATCTGTTTATCATTTTGGACTGTGAATCTGCCAGAGTGATATTTTGTTATTTCTCTTCCAAAATTTCCCCTAATGCTGCCAATAAGATTTTATGTGGGTGGCCTTTAAGTTGACATCAGGATGCTCTTATGTC